GAAGTTGTCCCTGCCCATGGCAGGGGGGTTGGAACTAGATGATCTTTAAGGTCCTTTCCAACCCAAACCATTCCGTGATCTTGGCAGTAACTTTTTTTTCCTCAAGACTTTATTTTGCCTTTAGTTTTAAAGCTTAACTGACATCTTTTAAATCTTAAAAAAGAAAGCATTTTTAATAGTGTTTTTCAGCTGATGTTGTTGTTCTTGCTCTAGTTCTCACCGCTCCCCAAACAAGCCTGGTTGCTGTCAGATGTGCTTCTAAGAAAACGGGGGGCAGCTCAAAAAATTTAGGTGGCCGCAGCCCTGGGAAGCGCTACGGATTCAAAAAAGTAGAAGGTGGGTCTGAATATGTGCCGAGCATCGTTTGCGTTTCATTTGGCTCTTCACAGCTTCTCCCCCAGTATGGGTGTCGAGCATCGCAGTAGGCGCTCTTCCAAGAGAAGGGAACGGGGAGGCTTGGCGAAAGCTCATGAGGAAGGGTATCCGGCAGGAGGGCAGGGTGAGTCAGCCTCCCTCCCAGCTGGACCTGCGAGCGGCCAGCTGAAAACGTCCTTTGATTCTAACTTTGCCTCTCTGGAGCGCCTGGGCGGAGGGTACGCTGCGGGACACCTCATAACTTGAGTGCGCTTTCCCCCCACGCTGTGTGGAAAAGCTGGGCATTTTAGATGTTTACAAAGGGGAGAATTATGAGGCTTAGCAGAAGCCAAAGTACAGATTCCTGCAGTTGAGTGCTTAATAATTATTAGCTTTGCTGATGAAAACATATCGATGTAAAAAGTAATAAAACAAGGGCCTTCAGCAGCGAGAAAATACCTTGTACCCTAGAAATAATCTTTTCCAAGACCAGAATTGCTTTGTTCCGTTGTATATCAATTGCCCTTTATTTCCTGCTAACAGCAGTTTTGTTTAGATGCTTTTAGCATTTGAAGTAATCTTTCCTTAGCAAATTCCCACAGAAAGCTGGGTTTTGTAAGTCCCGGAACCATTTGTGTTCTGCCAGCGCTTCGGGGAGCTCCGTTTCTCTGCAGCCTGACTCTGTCACTCTGTTGCAGGTGCGTTTGTGCACGCAGGCAACATTTTGGCTACGCAGCGGTTGATACGCTGGCATCCAGGGGCTCACGTAAGTTGCTTTTCCATCTCTTCCTCGGTTCTCAGAACAGCAGCCTGCAACAGAATCCTGTACTCGCTCTCCCCTCTCCCTCAAGCTTGTTTTTAATGCTCTTCCCTATATTCTATATAATCCTGAAATTGGGTTTTGTTACGTGGTATTTCTTAGTCTCAGCCTGCTCAGGGTCACACCTGTGCCCGTGCAACTGAGGAAAGGACTGAAAGTTACGGGTATTTCCAAACCCTTTGGTAACCTCACCCGGTGCTTGTGCTTCAGGGTGCGATCGGTATCTCCCCCCTTGCAGTGAGCACCGTTGCACACTCGCTGCTGGAAGCGAGAAGTGCAGTTTCCTTTTATTTTAAAATACAAAGCAACAGATGCTGCTGCAGCCAGGATACTGCAGGAGGCAGACCTGTGATCGGATCTGCGGCACTAGTGGACCACCAGCCTTTCCTTTCTAACACTCCTCATCCTCTCCAGGTGGGGATGGGCCGCAACAAGACACTCTTCGCCCTGGAGGACGGGATCGTCAGATACACCAAAGAGGTCTACGTACCTCCTCCCCGCAGCACTGAGAGCAGGGAAGTGATCTGTCGTCTGCCCAAAGGAGCAGTTCTTTATAAAACCTTTATCAATGTTGTCCCTACCACAGAAGTAGGAAGCTTTAAACTGGTCACCATGCTCTGAGCCTCCTGCATCACAGAGGGGAAGGAGCGGCTGGGACAGACCACTCCAGCCAGACTGGCATCCGAGAACAAGGCTATTCTAGCTCTGAAGGTACCAGTTTAGGACTTTATCTTCCTCCTAAAGCACACGTGGTCAGTGTTCAGGCACTGGGATCACCTCCTGGCCTTTGTAAGAGTGTAATAAACGCTGTGGGGCTGCTGGAGGTTGCAGCTGATCACAGAATGTGTTATGTATGTTCATTTAATATGTTCAGCTGCCTCTGGAGAAGCCATTGTGCCACTGGCTGAGTTCTCTCGACAGTCACTCTTACGTCAGTACTTGTCCCACTCAGAATTCCCTCTATTTTTACACATTACCGTTCTATTTGTATCTTAATTCAAAATACTGCAGAACAGGACAGACCCTTTTCCAATTGCACCTAGCTCTGCATCCCAGGGAGCTAGATTTTTCCTTTTAAGTCACCTCAGTGATTAACTCAAATATGTGAAGGTGTGCCATTTACTAGCCACGTGAGGCAAGTT